TTTGATTATGGTAAAAGGACAGGCGGATTTACGGGGGGGGGGGGACTTTCGGGCTGGAGACCCCCCCTCTCTCCCAAAACGGTAAAATATAACCGTGTTTTAAGGGAAAAAAGATATCTCTTATAATATTATTGTTCATGTAATTACATATAATACATTTCATATATGTAGTTCATTTCTTACTTCTTTTTTTTTCAAATTAATTTTTCGGTTTTAAATTAATTCTTGGAATTAAAATTCTTTAATTTAAAGTAGCCCCTCTTCCTGTCCTTAAGGCCAAGAAGTCAGAGGAGAATAATTAATAAAAAAATGTCAAAAATAAAAAACTTTTTTATTAGTTCTTCAGATCTGTTATCATCCATTTACTTATGGGACACCATGGATATAAGCGATGCGAATTGATTCGATTTGAATAAAGTTATCGATATTATTGCTTAAAAGTAAGTTTATTTTCTAGTTGGCTAAACGCGAATTTTGCTTTACCTCTTTCACATATAATTGTTCATGCGAAATTACTGGACGTCACAATAATACACACATTTTTCCAAAACTTTTATTCTGCGATTTGATTATGGTAATAGGACAGGCGGATTTACGGGGGGGGGACTTTCGGGCTGGAGACCCCCCTCTCTCCCAAAACGGTAAAATATAACCGTGTTTTAAGGGAAAAAAGATATCTCTTACAATACTATTGTTCGTGTAATTACATATAATACATTTCATATATGTAGTTCATTTCTTTCTTCTTTTTTTTTCAAATTAATTTTTCGGTTTTAAATTAATTCTTGGAATAGAAATTCTTTAATTTAAAGTAGCCCCTCTTCCTGTCCTTAAGGCCAAGAAGTCAGAGGAGAATAATTAATAAAAAAATGTCAAAAATAAAAAACTTTTTTATTAGTTCTTCAGATCTGTTATCATCCATTTACTTATGGGACACCATGGATATAAGCGATGCGAATTGATTCGATTTGAATAAAGTTATCGATATTATTGCTTAAAAGTAAGTTTATTTTCTAGTTGGCTAAACGCGAATTTTGCTTTACCTCTTTCACATATAATTGTCCATGCGAAATTACTGGACGTCACAATAATACACACATTTTTCCAAAACTTTTATTCTGCGATTTGATTATGGTAATAGGACAGACGGATTTACGGGGGGGGGACTTTCGGGCTGGAGACCCCCCCTCTCTCCCAAAACGGTAAAATATAACCGTGTTTTAAGGGAAAAAAGATATCTCTTATAATATTATTGTTCATGTAATTACATATAATACATTTCATATATGTAGTTCATTTCTTACTTCTTTTTTTTTCAAATTAATTTTTCGGTTTTAAATTAATTCTTGGAATTAAAATTCTTTAATTTAAAGTAGCCCCTCTTCCTATCCTTAAGGCCAAGAAGTCAGAGGAGAATAATTAATAAAAAAATGTCAAAAATAAAAAACTTTTTTATTAGTTCTTCAGATCTGTTATCATCCATTTACTTATGGGAGACCATGGATATAAGCGATGCGAATTGATTCGATTTGAATAAAGTTATCGATATTATTGCTTAAAAGTAAGTTTATTTTCTAGTTGGCTAAACGCGAATTTTGCTTTACCTCTTTCACATATAATTGTTTATGCGAAATTACTGGACGTCACAATAATACACACATTTTTCCAAAACTTTTATTCTGCGATTTGATTATGGTAAAAGGACAGGCGGATTTACGGGGGGGGGGACTTTCGGGCTGGAGACCCCCCCTCTCTCCCAAAACGGTAAAATATAACCGTGTTTTAAGGGAAAAAAGATATCTCTTACAATACTATTGTTCGTGTAATTACATATAATACATTTCATATATGTAGTTCATTTCTTTCTTCTTTTTTTTTCAAATTAATTTTTCGGTTTTAAATTAATTCTTGGAATAGAAATTCTTTAATTTAAAGTAGCCCCTCTTCCTGTCCTTAAGGCCAAGAAGTCAGAGGAGAATAATTAATAAAAAAATGTCAAAAATAAAAAACTTTTTTATTAGTTCTTCAGATCTGTTATCATCCATTTACTTATGGGACACCATGGATATAAGCGATGCGAATTGATTCGATTTGAATAAAGTTATCGATATTATTGCTTAAAAGTAAGTTTATTTTCTAGTTGGCTAAACGCGAATTTTGCTTTACCCCTTTCACATATAATTGTCCATGCGAAATTACTGGACGTCACAATAATACACACATTTTTCCAAAACTTTTATTCCGCGATATGATTATGGTCATAGCACATGTGGATTTACGGGGGGGGGGGAGACTTTCGGGCTGGAGCCCCCCTCCCCTAAAACGGTAAAATATAACCATGTTTTAAGGAAAAAAATATAAAAATATATCTCTTATAATATTATTGTTCGTGTAATTACATATAATACATTTCAAATATGTAGTTCATTTCTTTCTTCTTTTTTTTTCAAATTAATTTTTCGGTTTTAAAATAATTCTTGGAATAGAAATTCTTTAATTTAAAGTAGCCCCTCTTCCTGTCCTTAAGGCCAAGAAGTCAGAGGAGAATAATTAATAAAAAAATGTCAAAACTAATAAACTTTTTTATTAGTTCTTCAGATATGTTATCATCCGTTTACTTATGGGACACCATGGATATAAGCGATGCGAATTGATTCGATTTGAATAAAATTATCGATATTATTGCCTGAAAGTAAGTTTATTTTCTAGTAAGCTAAACGCGAATTTTGCTTTACCTCTTTCACATATAATTGTCCATGCGAAATTTCTGGACGTCATAATAATAATAATACACACATTTTTCAAAACTTTTATTCTGCGATTTGATTATGGTCATAGCACATGTGGATTTACGGGGGGGGAGACTTTCGGGCTGGAGCCCCCCTCCCCTAAAACGGTAAAATATAACCTTGTTTTAAGGAAAAAAATATAAAAATATATCTCTTATAATATTATTGTTCGTGTAATTACATATAATACATTTCATATATGTAGTTCATTTCTTTCTTCTTTTTTTTTCAAATTAATTTTTCGGTTTTAAATTAATTCTTGGAATAGAAATTCTTTAATTTAAAGTAGCCCCTCTTCCTATCCTTAAGGCCAAGAAGTCAGAGGAGAATAATTAATAAAAAAATGTCAAAAATAAAAAACTTTTTTATTAGTTCTTCAGATCTGTTATCATCCATTTACTTATGGGACACCATGGATATAAGCGATGCGAATTTATTCGATTTGAATAAAGTTATCGATATTATTGCCTGAAAGAAAGTTTATTTTCTAGTAAGCTAATCGCGAATTTCGTTTTACCTCTTTCACATATAATTGTCCATGCGAAATTACTGGACGTCACAATAATACACACATTTTTCCAAAACTTTTATTCTGCGATTTGATTATGGTAATAGGACAGACGGATTTACGGGGGGGGGGACTTTCGTGCTGGAGACCCCCCTCTCTCCCAAAACGATAAAATATAACCGTGCTTTAAGGGAAAAAAGATATCTCTTATAATATTATTGTTCGTGTAATTACATATAATACATTTCATATATGTAGTTCATTTCTTTCTTCTTTTTATTTCAAATTAATTTTTCGGTTTTAAATTAATTCTTGGAATAGAAATTCTTTAATTTAAAGTAGCCCCTCTTCCTGTCCTTAAGGCCAAGAAGTCAGAGGGGAATAATTAATAAAAAAATGTCAAAACTAATAAACTTTTTTATTAGTTCTTCAGATCTGTTATCATCCATTTACTTACGGAACACCATGGATATAAGCGATGCGAATTGGTTCGATTTGAATAAAATTATCGATATCATTGCCTGAAAGTAAGTTTATTTTCTAGTAAGCTAAACGCGAATTTTGCTTTACCTCTTTCACATATAATTGTCCATGCGAAATTTCTGGACGTCATAATAATAATAATACACACATTTTTCCAAAACTTTTATTCTGCGATTTGATTATGGTCATAGCACATGTGGATTTACGGGGGGGGAGACTTTCGGGCTGGAGCCCCCCTCCCCTAAAACGGTAAAATATAACCTTGTTTTAAGGAAAAAAATATAAAAATATATCTCTTATAATATTATTGTTCGTGTAATTACATATAATACATTTCATATATGTAGTTCATTTCTTTCTTCTTTTTTTTTCAAATTAATTTTTCGGTTTTAAATTAATTCTTGGAATAGAAATTCTTTAATTTAAAGTAGCCCCTCTTCCTGTCCTTAAGGCCAAGAAGTCAGAGGAGAATAATTAATAAAAAAATGTCAAAACTAATAAACTTTTTTATTAGTTCTTCAGATCTGTTATCATCCATTTACTTACGGGTCACCATGGATATAAGCGATGCGAATTGATTCGATTTGAATAAAGTTATCGACATTATTGCCTGAAAGTGAATTTATTTTCTAGTAAGCTAAACGCGAATTTTGCTTTTCTCTTTCACATATAATTCTCCATGCGAAATTACTGGACGTCACAATAATACACACATTTTTCCAAAACTTTTATTCTGCGATTTGATTATGGTAATAGGACAGGCGGATTTACGGGGGGGGGGAACTTTCGGGCTGGAGACCTCCCCCTCTCTCCCAAAACGGCAAAATATAACCGTGTTTTAAGGGAAAAAAATATATCTCTTATAATATTATTGTTCGTGTAATTACATATAATACATTTAATATATGTAGTTCATTTCTTTCTTCTTATTTTTCAAATTAATTTTTCGGTTTTAAATTAATTCTTGGAATTGAAATTCTTTAATTTAAAGTAGCCCCTCTTCCTGCCATAATAGCTAAGGCCAAGAAGTCAGAGGAGAATAATTAATAAAAAAATGTCAAAACTAATAAACTTTTTTATTAGTTCTGTTATCATCCATTTACTTACAGGACACCATGGATATAAGCGATTCGAATTGATTCGATTTGAATAAAGTTATCGATATTATTGCTTAAAAGTAAGTTTATTTTCTAGTTGACTAAACGCGAATTTTGCTTTACCTCTTTCCGCAATGGACAATAGCCTGAAGGCCTGGCCGAAGTAGGGTATGGCTGGTGGACCAGGGGGGCCTCTAGGCCGTCGTCGCCACAGCCTGAGCGTGAGGAAGCCGCAGAGCGCAGCGAGCAGGCACATCAACATCATCATCATCCCCACTGAGCCCCGTCGGGAAGGGGGCTCTTATGTACGGCAGGCCCCACTGCTGCTTCCAGGCCGCTGGTGGCGGGGTGTGGGCGTCTGCCGAGGGGGTCGCGTGCCCCGGGGCGCGTATTGCAGCCCTACACAACCCAAAAATGGACCTGATCGCAGGCGAAGGTTTGATTGTAAATTACGAAAGTGTATGTTTTTCTGAGTAAAAAGAACCTTGTCTGCCGTTCCAGAGCCGCTGCTTTAAAAAATGGCGGATGATTTAAAGAATAAGGATCGAAACGGGAAATCCATTGCGAAAAATTTGTGAAAAGTTTTTATTTTATTAACTTGTATATAGAATAGAATAGAATAGAAAATAATTTTATTCTGGGACGAAGTCCCTTCACAAAATTAAAATGTTATATCTGGCCAAATAAAAACAAATATAAAAAGTAAAGGTAAAGATAAATCAGTAAAGAAGATATTAGTTATACATAGTATATACAAAATAAAATACAAAAAAATCTATATACTAAACTCTTGAAACCTTGCCAAGACACTTAAAACTACGTACAATGGTAAAATGTAAATTCATAATTGGTAAATGGTTGACTGCCGTGGATAATGAAGAGAAGAATAGTTGGGGTGGTCAGTCAAAAAAGAAGTCAAAAATAAATGATAATATTTATTTTTACATATGCCGACGTTTCGACCTGAAGTTCAGGCCTTCATCAGGGCTAAGAAAATAACCAGATAAAAGTATGAGAAACATAAGTAGTAATGGTAAAAAAAAATAAAAAAATAAAATAAAAAAATGAAGTAAAATGAAATTGTTAGAATAATGACAATAGTAAGAACTGAGAGATAAATAATAATAACCGTTACGAAGTGTGGAATGATGAAGTAAGCATAATCAAAAAGGGTGACATATAAGTGTTAAAATGGGAATCTTAAAATAAAATGTGAAACATAATTTTTTTTTTTTTTTTTTTCTTACCCTCCAAAATGTTTATTGAAACAAATTACATATATAGTATACAATATACAATATATACATGTAATAAATTCCTTCCACTGCCCGAGGGCATTTTAAGGATTGGGGATAGCTAAGGGTTACATATGTGGCAGAAGGCCTTGTGACTTTGACATTGAACGGGGAAATACCGTTCTGCTAATTTTTTATTATTTACAATATATACAAATTAATGGGTTTGGACCGCAGAGACCAGACCACATCTATCGACGAGTATGTCCACCGAAGGGAGTTTACCTTTCCACCTCCCAGATCTGGGTGGTGGTGAGATCTCATTGAACAGTGGATTTGCACAGGCCTTCAGCCTATCAAAAAATTTGATGTGCCTCCGGCCTATGAACTCAGGTACCGAGGGGAGCTGGAGCTCCTCGCGTATTGTTTGATTCTTAGCCCTTTGTAGGGTGGTGCCACGGACAATTCGCCGAAGGATAGAGTTCTGGAAGCCCTGTAGACTCGTAAGCGTGGATTTATATAGGTATCGCAGGAGAGGGGCCCCGTGGAGCAGTGTTGGTCTTATAATAGCTTTATAAATTTGGAGCTTGAGTCTCAGCGAGAGTCTCTTAATGTCTTGTGTCTTATTAATGTGAAACATAAAAAAGAAATATGAAGTTATATAAGAAATAAAAATAAATAGTAAAACTAAGACATTGAGAATGGAGTAATTAGATATAAAATTGAGATATTGGAAAGTCTATCAAGATGTACAGACAATGTATAATATAATAAAGAGTTAAAAACAGAGAAAAGGAATGAAAGGAAGGAGGGAAGAAACTGAGAAAGCTGAAATAAGAAAGAAATAAAAGAAGTAGTACCTGTCTCCAAAAATAATATATAAATATACATAATATAATATAATATAGAAATAGAAATAGAAATATAATAAATATAATAATATAATAAATATAATACTATATAATATAATAATATATAAACATAAATATGTAAAATATAAATATACACTTTTAGAAAAAATAAAAAATACATTACAATCTTCTGAGTTTACAGCTACTTTGTGTTTCTGTTGGAAAAAAAAAAAAAAAAAAAGAAAGTCGAATCTGCTAATAAGTATTTCAGTTATGAGCTATATGTAAATACATCATTATGAATAATATGTAATTTTACATAAAAGGTTAGCGGGTATCTGACAGGTTTTTGGGACAGAAATGGGAATAGGAGGGTTTTGAATGTAGAAAGGGATGAAGAATGCCGAATTTTGATAGGAAGGGAATTCTCACCACGACGATATAAATCAGTCCCTCCAGAAATGACGTAGGCGAAACCCCAATAGGGCATGACAATTTAATGTTCACTGAACAAATTATTTGCTACATTAATGATGAATATATAACGGAGGACTCATCAACGTAATAGTCAATTGTTTTTAATGTAAGATTTAATGTTTGAAGTTACGTACATGTAAGGTTTTTTTATAAGAAAAAGTGCATACTTTTATGTATAGATCTGGATAAATTTATGTGTATCGAAAATAATATGACATAGATCGTTAGACAAGTTAATTAAGTGTAATAAGAAATTCTTTTTGTAATTGTTGAATGTTAACTAATAATGATATTACAATTTTCCAGACTTGAAAATGACCCTTAGTATGGTCCAAATAGCGTATAAATGAAAAGTTTTTATTTTTTTAACTTGTATATATGGGTTCAGACATGTAAAAAACAAAATTGCTAACGCGGACCACCAAGGGAAAACTTTTTACAGCCAAAGAAGTCAGAATTTTTCGATATTCTTTTGTTTTGTCACCTATAACTCCTAAATGATGCATCAAAGAGAAAAAATGTACTTTTTAATAAATTAAAGAACGTTAAATTTTGCGTCGAACGAGTACATAAACTTTATAGTTTGGTAACCTGTTAAGGTATAAAACCACGTTCAACCAACGCTGAGTTTTACCAAATTTGTCAAAAACTGAGACAAATTACTATAAATGGCACTGTAACTTGGTAATGAGTTCCCTAAGAGGAAAAACCCATAGAATCAAAGTTGTAGAGCATCAAATGTTGCGTCTGCTGGGAACTAAAATTTTCATTGAAGGTCAATTATATATCTCGAATCGGGACTCGCTATCCCTTTATGAAATTCGGTATCTTTCCACACATCGTTTATCATAAAAGAGGCTTATACTGCATGTAACAGCCTCTAAACAAAAATAGGTAAGTAGAATAGACACCCATGCTGTTAAAATATTGAAAATCACGTTTACCTTCATTTTCAATTTCCAAAATTCGGGAAATTACCGATTTTGTTCGGAGTAAGTGAGCTACCTACATTAAATTAGTTGGTACTCATTGGACGCAAAATTTGATGCTCCAGAACTTTGATTACATGGGTTTTTCCTCTTAGGGAACTCATTACCAAGTTACAGTGCCATTTATAGTAATTTTTCTCAGTTTTTGACAAATTTGGTAAAAATCAGCGTTGGTTGACCGTGGTTTTATACCTTATCAGGTAACCAAATTATATAGTTTACATACTCGTTCGACGCACAATTTAACGTTCTTTAATTTATTAAAAAAAGTAATTTTTTCTCTTTGATGCATCATTTAGGAGTTATAGCTGAAAAAACAAAAAAATATCGAAAAATTCTGACTTTTTTGTCCATAAAAAGTTTTCCCGTGGTGGCCCGCTTTAGAAATTTTGTATTTTACATGTCTGAATCCATATATACAAGCAAAAAAAATAAAAACTTTTCCCACATTTTTTCGCAATGGATTTCCCGTTTCGATTCTCAAATTACCGATCTAATATTCTTTAAATCAGCCGCCATTTTTTAAAGCAGCGGCTCTGGAACGGCAGACAAGGTTCTTTTTACTCAGAATAACACAAACTTTTGTAATTTACAATCAAACCTCCGCCTGCGATCAGGCCGATTTTTGGGCCCTGGCTCCAGGGCTAATACGCATATTCGCCGACTTATGAAAATTATTGCGGGACCAAACCATAGGATCACATGGAGAGGATGGGAATATTGTCTGGAATGTATCCTACATTCCTATATCAATATACATATAATATATGCCTACATGAAAAATTACCATCTCAACTAGGTATTAAATGGTTTCGAGCCCTTCCTGATATCAAAAAGTTTTAAGTTACATAAAATATTTTAAACTAAAACAGTACAGTATTTTAATAAATTGTTTCTTTTACAGTTTAGGTGAGTTTAGAAAACCAAATAATTAATCAAATATAACTAATTTTACTCTTCTTTTAGATAATTATTTTTGTTCATATTTTTCTACAACAGCAATTTTTTGGGGGACTGAGCCCCCATTACGTCAGAATTAGAGGGGTGGCTCGAACGGCGCGAACTCCTAGTAGTTGGCGCCAATGTCTTTACGACACCTGTCTGAACTCGTATAGGCTTTGTAGTAGCCCTAGTGACTGACCATTTACGAACACGGATTCAGACACCTCAGCGCAGCTTGACCGCTGGCAAACTTAAGTTGTTTAAAATTAATCCACAAATATATTACAAAGTTTTAAATGTTCTAAGAGAGTGATATTTAATTAATTCATGATTTTGACTAAACAAAGGGTAAATTTCGTTTTAAATATTTATTTACTGACAAGACAATTTCAAAAAATAACAAAATAAATAAATAATAAAGACTAATATTATAATAAATTATATATAGTAAACTATTTCCAAAACTCCGAATTTTGAGACTTGTGACTAGAGAAAAGCATATTTTTTCAGATAAAGAAATCCGATAGTGGAAATACCAACTAAAATCCAATAGAATTTTCTCTTGAAAAAAACAACTAACTGTTTACGTTAAAAAAAAAACTACGTATACGGATATATACTCACTCACATCATTTGTGGTTCACAGTCATAATAATATACCTGGATATTGATAGAAAATGTTGAATAAATAAACAGTTCAATTTATATTACATTGAAAGCAATCATTTATTATAATTAATAAAAATCATAGTAATATGTGTTTTTCTTTTTTCTTATGTTATGTTATGTTTTATGTTCTGTTTCGGGGTGTAGGAGTGCATGGCGGCTTCTGG